GAAAGCAAAACTGTCCAATCTAAACTCCGTAATCTGTGGTCGGTACATCAAAGAAATGTTCGTGTTCGGGCAAATTTAGTTTGGACGCTACAGTAAACTGCTACAGTTTACCATGCGCGCTTGTGCGAATCTGAAGAAAATGACAGAGTGCGACCACGAGAAAATATTACATCTGATAAATTTATATGAAAATCATCGTGAATTATGGGATTGCGGTAATAAAAATTACCACTTACGAAATAAAAAATGCGTTACATGGCTGAAAAACGCCTTCATCGCAAGATGAACAGTGACATAGAATCGATAAAAGCAAAAATGAGTTCATTGCTGTCTTCATTTCGAAGGAAAATAGCCAAAATTAAAACTACAACAAGAACCGGACAAGGCATTTTTATATATTACATTCACATAAACTTAAATTACAGGACTTGATTCATTTTAGGACAGAAGGACTTTTATTCCAGCAAATCCTTAGCTTTGCCTAGACAAGCGACAGACATTTTTAAATTTTCCAGTATCTTCAATTGCCAGGTCGCATAGAAATCACTGTATAAGCTTCTGCTCTGAAATATATGGGTCGTCCAATAACACCTATTCACTTTAGTTTTCTGTTTAGATAAATCACACAAAATTATGAAAGCTGCCGCTGCAATTCTAACATCATCCATGATGAATAGCACATTTATATCGCCGCGCAAGCTGGAACTTTGGCAAATGCAAACATTTTTAATTATTGTTGCAGCAATGTAGACGCAAGGCGCAAATGGTGTGTGAACGTTCGCAAATGTTTGGCGCGGTATTGCGCTGCGGCCTGGACGCACCTTAAGATATTGAAGCACGCGCGGCGTTTTTAATCAGAAATTAGTTACCGGCACTTGTAACTTTAGTAAACCACTTACCATCTTTTCATCAGGACCTTACTGTTGATTTAGATGTAAATTGTAGGAAAAAATGATATATTTAGTATAATAAATAAAAAATATATCTACCTACTTACATATGTATGAATATTAATTTTATGATTATTGTAATTAAAGTAAGATGCTTACCGAAGTTAAAAAAAACATGATCCAAGTATACGTCAGCGTTGAATCAAACCAGACAAGAGGCTGAAGGTGCAGGAGTCAAAGACCCTATAACTATTTTCGCATGCCACCAATTGTAACTATTTTATGATATCTGTTATTTTTGCGAGATCTAATTGACTTGAAGAAATAATCAATTAGTTGGTAGATACATCTAGTAAACAAATTATTTGAAAATCAAATTTGATTTAGAAAATCTGCAGTTTTGAAGATTCAAAGAATCACGACGATGTGAAATAGTTCTAAATAACTTTTCAGCAGGACGTGAAACAACACACACAACGTGAAATATATATTTTTTTCTGTTTTTAGCGCATGAACTGAAAAATTAATATAGCTTTTAATTAAGCAAAGTAACAATTATATTACTTTCTTGCCGCTTTTGAATAAAACTTGAATAACGCTTTCATAAAATTAAACGACGTCTTTACGACCTTTAATATTACTTTCTAGACCTTTCTAAAAAATAGTCATGCATCATTAGGGAAGTTATACTATTCATATATTTTTATTTTTATTATTTTACGGCTTGGAAATTTCCGCAAGCGTCATCTTTGCCAAATCATAACTTTGAGCTAGTCACCGAATGTTTCAAAGCTTCCTTCAGAACATCCAGCACGAATACAATATTTTCTTGTGTAGCGTTATATCCCATAATTCCGACTCTGAACACTTTTCCGGCAGTCGGTCCTAATCCACCACTAATTTCCAATTTGTACCTAAACAAGACACTTATCAAAGCAGCAGATAACGGTTCAATACTTTTTAAGTACCTTTTCATGGCATATTCAGTTACTTTGCGCCAGTCTACGCCATCAGGAACTTTAATGGTAGTTACCGAAGGCAATCTCTTGTGTTCTTCGTCTACGTAAAGCTGCATCCCTAATGCTTCGATTCCTTCGTATAGTTGAGCAGCACAATGTTGGTGTCTTTTAATTACTTGCTCCAAACCTTCATCTGCTATTACAGCCAACCCTTCGCGCAAACCGTATAAAAGTGTCGCAGAGGTTGTATGATGATATCTGGAAATCGTGAATACTTCTGAACATACTTACCTACCTGAAGCAAATCTAAACATAGACAGAAGCATGCAAAAAGCATACAAATAATAACAAGGATATGGCTGGTTAGGTACAGCTAATAAAATTATTACTGAAAAATTGAAAAAACTTTACAATCTTGGTGCGCTCCTTTCGAAGCAATTCCACTGTTGTCCAAGCAGCGTTATATCCCAGAAGTAGACCGGAATAGGAGTTTTTCTATTGGCAATGGTTTTTCTAAAAACAATGATAATATTGAAATTTCTAACGTTGAAAACCGATTTCCAACTTTTAAGACTCTCAGTAACCTAACGTACAGTGCTCTTTCATTAAATGATATCGGGGCTAAGCCAGGTGGAGCTCCAATTATTTTTTGGCTTCCTGAGTATGCCGCATCAACCTTCCATTTGTCCATAAGGAATGGCACTGCGCCCAGGGAAGCAACAGTATCCACTACCAGCAAACAATTATATCTAAAACATAACGAGTTGATGCAGTATGTAACGTTATGCAGGGTGTCGAGAAATAAGCACAAGGCACATAGGATGCAGGTCTTTGTTGACAAAAGTTGAAACTAGTTATATGGCATTTTTGTATTTTCTCAAGTGGTTCTTCTTGCATTACCCCGAAAAGAATAAATCTATGATATTGAATAATTTACTCTTTTGAATAAAACAGAAGAATTACACTAACTAATGTTTTTCTCTGAAAACTAAACTTATTTGTTTATCGGAAACTCCAGCTGCTGTGGTTAGCATCATGTAAAAAGGAGCACAATTACGTGGACACATAAGAGTGTTTTAAGAGTGTCATTTCAAAGAAGCGTTTTCGTATCTGTGTGTAAAAATTTCGTAAAAAGTCTCTGTTCTAAAAATAGCGACTCTTGTAAATAAGTAATTCAATTTTCTTATGAAGAAGATCAGATATTGGTAGAACCGATAAAATAATTACAACTAATAGCTACTGGAACATGAAAAGAAAGCTTCCTTCGCATTAGAAAATATTGTCTGATACTTTCTGGAAAATACACAATCACTTATGGCGACTGAAAAAATTAACATTAGGCATTAATGTCCACTGCTGAAATGTAGATATTATGTAGCTTTATCAGATGGTAAAGAAACGTTAAAGTTGCAAGAGGTAAGCTTTTCCGGCTTTTAGGCTCTTGTTTAATATAATTTCTTTATAAAATAAGACTCAACTCTTCTAATAAACTTTCCTTTTCCCATTAGTCTCTGTGTTGAGAAACTACTTTTTGTGAACAGTATGTTTTGACTATAACTGTGAAAATTTCTCCTTTTAAGTTTAGTTTCTTTAAATACACATTTAGAATACCTATTTTGAGTAAAAGATAAAAATGTTTTTTAAAGACTGTTTAATAATGTATTTTAGGAGTTGACGTGATAGACAAAAATAACGATTATTTCTCTATTCAGAAACTAAAAATGAATTAAAACCATCTCACAAATCGAAAGCAACGAACCGTTATACCACAGCTTAAATATCATATATACCTAAATAATATCGATAAATAAGCTGTGCTTATGCCCTATCCATGGTATAATATGATGGCTGGAGCAATACAGCAAAAAGTTAAATTTTTGACTCAATTTTATATTGTTTTCCTGTTGAGATGAGCGAATGAACAACAAAGCGACGAGAAATACTCATAAATATTCATTCATTTTTATCATATAGTATTCATCATTCATGAAATTCTATGAATATTCATCATTCATAAATATTCGTAGAAATACTCATAAAAATCCCAAAAACGGGTTTTCGAAAAAGACGATAAAGAAGACCAAACTGTAAAGACGATGACTTTTCTTGAACAATCCACGTTTTAACTTTTTTGCATAAAATACTCTCAGTTTGCCATTATTTTATAGTAAAACGTTAGGAAAAACGCGTTGTTCTGTTTAGAGAGAGTTTTCTTTATAAATATTGACCTAAAAGTGAAGAAACCGGAATTTAAATAAATCAAATTATTCACAGCGACAAAAGAGGCGAGTTTTCCCAATATTTGATTATAAACTTTCACTTGTTCTGTTCGGGGAAATATTTTTGGGAATAAATCTAGAAAAAATTATTAGGGTTTTGTCCAAAATTCAAAGCTGAAAAAGGTTCCAAAAAAAGGTAATGGTAAAGGTAAAAAAGGTACGATATGTTCGAGTTGAAATTGACAAAAGAAACGTTCTAGAGCTATGCCTATCGGGTCACTCTGTATACTTATTACCTTCTCGTAATTTCACCAATTCCTATTATCGGTTGATAAATTCCCGTTGAACTTTCCCCTTGCACTACAAACAACAGTTTTGGCTGATGTATTTTTACAGCATTTTCAATTTCTATTATGGAAAAATTGCTTCCCAAAGCAGTTTTTACCAATTTTCTTACTATGGCCCCTAGAAACAAAAATATCGTCAACTTCGAAGCAAGGATTCCGCTTTCGAAATGCTTGTTTCCAATAGATTCGATCACGAAATGAATAAATGCTTTTTCTGGCCAAAGAAAAACGCTGGGTGATTTCATAGCTCATATTTGTACGATTTGAGACGTTTAAGAGCATTTGCAGACTTTCGTTTCCTTTCGCTTATGAAATATGATTGTTTTCACTAGATTGATTTACGAAAGGAATAAATGCTATTTCTGGTTAACTGGCTAAATATAGCTTGATTGTTATATTGTAGTATATAAATTACCATATCTTTCAGCTAGATTGGCTGCTCTTTCTCCCCAGATGCCATTAATTAAAATTAGTACAACATCGTGAGGTTCCAAAAGGTTACACAGTACGGCTTCCATTCCTGCATGACCCGATGCGCTTATTGCAAGAGTGAGTTGATTGTTTGTTTGAAATACGTACTGAATGCCTTTTTTAATTTCATCCATAATCTGAAAAAAATGTAATTTCTACCCAAAATAAATCAAACGTTCACTCAAAACTGTTTACTTACATCAAACAACTCTGAATGCATGTGTCCCAATATTGGTTGAGACAAAGCGTTTAAGATCCTCGGGGATGAGTTCGAAGGACCAGGACCCATAAGAAGCTTATGAGGAATACGTAAGGGACTTTTCAATCCTAATGGAGGGCGGACGTTCATTTTTGAACAATAACTCTGCTTTATGCGAATCGGAAATTACTTAAACTTAACAGAAACACAAACTGACATTAAACGTTTACTGAAAAATATCTCAATCACACGGCACTCTTAGAAAGACAACTGGTAAATTGTACGATGGTCAATCGACAACTTTATAAAACAATTTGCTGTATTAAAAATTCTAATATACAGCTTTAAAAAAATATATCTGCGCTTTGGAAGTTTTTTTGAAGCTTTTGGCTAGCCAGATGAAACATAAGTTTCAGACTTATTGTTTGATATACAGGAAAACTTGAGGCGGATATTTGGTCTCGGGAGTTTTTCAAAACTTTTGGAACATCCTGCGTTTATCTTGCCAGGTTAAAGTGCAAGAATTTAAATATAGCTTTTGAACTCATAATAAGACGATATGCGATAAGAGTTTGTACAGAAGGTGCATACATTATTTAACACCACATTTAGCTCGCTCAAGAATTTAAGGCACGGGGATATTATATCTGGAAATAACCGTTGATTGGGCGTCTGTGGCGGCGCTAGGGGTGAGCGAGGTTGGACGAGCGCCCAACCAAAATTTGTCTCGCCCAACCACTTTTAATAGCGATATAAATAATTGCGAGTTAAAAACCATCAGATCAAATTCGAGAATAATAAACGTGAAAACATTCCTAGTTGTTCGGGAATTAAAAAGTAAGTCTTTAAGTACTTAATATAAATTTATTTTCTAATCTAAATATGGGTACTTACTTATCTCCCGTTAGGACAATATTTTCATATAGAGGACAAAGAAGTAATTGATTTGGCTCAATCGCTACCTGAACTTTCTAGACAGCCGTTCTTTGCAAGTTTTCCTAAAAACAGTATGGTAGTTTTAAGTCCAGTTATTATATCATGTATCGTTGGATTAAGTACAGCATTTTCAACAATACTGTATTCCGTTTTCCCTTGCAGATTTTTCATCAATTGTTTGAAGAAAACTGGTAGGAAACTAGGTGGAACTAGCAGTTTTAGTTTTGTAACTGAAAAGTACAAGAACTGAAAAAGGTTTGCAGAAACAAAAGCTGGGTTTCAAAACATGATTTAGTACACTTAATCCAACTTCCATCATTTTTGTGAACACTTAGAACGTTGATTTCTTTAGCTAACCATTGCCCATGTGATATAGTTTCTATTCAAAACGAGACAAAGTCATTGCCAGATACCACTAAGAGGTACTAAGTCAAAATAATCTAAAAACTTTAATCAACTAATTTAATTTCAGATTAACAATCACTTTAACAGATTTCACGCTTCTTTTGCAAATTTTTAGTTTAGTCTTATATAATATTGCAATGACAGTGCCATTTTCCAGTGCAAGTTTTGAAAGAACTTTCAGCACTTTAAAGATAATTAAATCTTTTCTAAGAACAACTGTGAGTCAGGATAGGCTTATCGACTTAGGCATTTTCTTTGTTGAAAAAGATATTGCAAAAAATATATTTAGAGTTGATTATAGATGCGTTTGCTGGTACGCATAATAAGAGAAAAATTTATCTTCTAATATCCTGCGTGAATAACTATTTAATTATTGAATTATTTCACTACCTTATAAATGTTTTATTCACTGTTTATAATGTTATTTTCGTTAATTTAAGTATTTTTAATCTACTTTTACTTGGTAAATGCTGAATGAAAGTCTTCTAATGTTCTGCGTGAATAACTATTTCATTATTGAATTAATTCACTACCTTATAAATGTTTTATTCACTGTTTATAATGTTATTTTCGTTAATTTAAGTATTTTAAATCTACTTTTACTTGGTAAATGCTGAATGAAAGTCGCTAGTGTTGTAGCGACTTTCATTAAGAATTTGTTTCCAACATAATGTCGTTTAAAAAAAATATTCACAGTTGTGAAATATATTTTTGTAACATTTATTTCGTTATTCTACGAAAGTAGATAAAATCTCGCATAATATTTGTATTGTAAATTCATATTGGGACACTAACGGTATTGTCAAACTCTGTTAGCTCCTTGTTTGACACAAACATGTTATTACTAAAATAAGACTTACTAAAAATGAATCTTTGCAACGCTTGTATATTAAATAAAAATAACCAAAAAATACTTTACATTACATTCGCCCAAAGAAGAAAACAAAATATTTTGTAAAAGGGAAATCTTGTATCCAACTCTTACCATTCTTTTAATGGTAAATATATCCTACCCATCTTGAAAAAAAAATTGCCGGCTTTCGCCCAAGCGGAAACTAAAGCTGGCGCCGCCACTGCTGGGCGTACATATAACAATTTTAGAAGTTTCTCTTAGTTCTCAATAACCTCTGTATATTGAGGTAGTCCTTGCAAGTTATGAAAATCGGGATTTTATGTATAAGCAACATTGGGTTCATGTAGTGACAGTATTTAACCCCGACAATCCTGACAACATGTTTATTTATTTATTACAAGTTAATGAAAACCAATAATAATATTTAGTTATGCTAATATGTATATAAATAGAGTAGAAAAGTTGACAAGGAAAATGCTGAAATACGTACGAGTGATATTTTCGATAAAGTCCTGTCCTAATGTAAGAAGTATGTCCAAGGATTTTCTTTATAAATTTGTTTAAAAAATAAATAAAACAGTTTTTATTAAATTTAAATTGGTTTACTTGCGAAAACATATCTGCAGCATTGTGTACAAAAACTAGAACTAGTAAGGGTGGTTGTTAGTCATATTAATTAGACAAATAAGATTAGTTAATTGTCGAATTACAATATTTCAACTTAGCCCTGTCTCCATAAAATCTATATTAGGAAATTAACAAATACTACAAGCTAATGTAAAACGTTACAATAAATAATATATAAACTGTAAAAGTAGCATGCTGGAAATTTACACAAATAAAAACAAATCAAATTTACAAAAAGCCAATTAACTCTTGTCCTTATAAAATAAATTTTTTATCGTATATAGATATATCGAATATAATGTCACGTAAGTACATTATTTAATTGGTTCGTAAGTTTGAAGACGGTTGAAACATTAGGTAGAATATCGTTATATATTATTTACACTAGAAAGTTGAAGAATACATTTAGTTAGTTGATTTTAATTTATATGAAGAAAACATTTTGATTCATTTTAAGGCCTTAATAATTATAATGTTTGTAAAAGACGCATTTCCAAACACACACAGCTCAACGCAATATTTTTGATAAGACTGGTAAATCTGGTATATATATGTATTTATCACCAATTTAATGGAACAAGAACATCTTATACACTACTATGGAGAAAATGGAAATATTTATTCCTGTGCAATTTCAAATACCACAAAAGGTGTCTTGCTTATTCGTAAAAGTGCAAGATGATAAAAAGTTAAAAGTAGAAAAAACTACCTAACATATGTTATTAATGTTATTAAACTGAAGCTATTCTTGTTAAAGTTCTATTCATGGGCTGTTAGGGTTCGGAGGCCATTCGTATTCTGGCAGATTCTCTTGATTTGCTGTGGATTTCAGCAGTTCTTAGGGTTATTCCAAATATGTCTTCATGATACCTATTCTGATCCTGCAATGAATATAGAGAACTGTTCTTAAAACTGTCACAGTCTTTTGGATTATTAATGCGTACGAATGTAGCGTTATTAACTAAAATTCAGCACTTTGACCGACTTTTTTTATTTGACTGGCTTGTTCCTTGCTGTGGAATATTAGAAAATACTTTTTCCATGGGGTGTGGATATAGATAGATATTTGTTTATATATTTTACTTACCCTTAAGGATAAAAGGAACGATTGAACTTCATGCTCATTCATGCCACCATACTTTTGGATGATTTTTTTTAAAGTTTGATATACATGCTCGGCCATGGTGCAGTCACCACATACGTAAAAGTGACCCTCCTGAATAACCAACAACTTGTAGATTTCTGCTGCTTCTTCTAAAGCAAGATCTTGGACGTATGTCTAAAATAAACCCAAATGTTCCAAATAAAATCATTTTGTATGGTGTTTGTGAGTAAGTGACTAACTTTCTTCAAGTGTTTTTCCCTTGATAATGCTAGAAATACTCTGTCTAGAACATTAGCGTCACTCATTTCCTCTTTTTCCTCTCTGTAAAGATCCATTTCCTTAGTTCGACAGCCGAAGAATAGCCAGATTTTGCCTATCTGGTTTTTAGCTCTGAGTTGAGCGTATCTGTAACAAGCATTTAAAGTTAGAGCAGGATGCCTCGAGAACTTAAGAAAGCCTAAATATGCAACTTTGCTTACCTTTGTTGCCAGAAAGATCTGAACGGCGCTATCCCGGTTCCAGGCCCAACCAGGATGATCGGTTTGGTCATGTCGTTTGGTAGGTAGAAGTTGGGAGCGCTGAAATACAGTTTTATGTATTTACGTAAATTTAATGGTCGGAAAGTCGTCAAGCTAAAAATAAGGCACCTGGGCCTGATTCGGTCCCTGCCGAATTACATAAATTGTTGGATAAGAAAAGCATCATATCCTTCTACATTTTTCAACCAAATATATAATACTAAGCTACTAAGCTTGATCACACGCTCACAGAAGAACTGTTTGAATTTCTGAATGGACTGGGAACTAGAACTTGTTCTGTATGCGGGTTATTCTCCAAAAGTGCGGTGAATTCCGAAAGAACGCTTAAGTATGCTTTAGAGACTTTGAGAAGGCTTTTGATCGGGTCCCACATGATCTGCTGCTTGAATATATGGAATCTATAGAACTGGACAATTACGATCTTAGGCTACTGAAATAACTATACTATTATCAAGTAACTACCGCTAGGGTAGATCTAGATGCCTCTTCTAGTAAAATTCCAATTAAACCAGAAGTCGGTACGTCCGGGATGTGTTTTGTCGCCTGCACTGTTCAATGTATATTCTGCGCAAATATTTCGGGAGGCGATGGATGGCCGAACGGAGAGTATAGGAATCGGAAGAGAAACCATAAATAACATTAGATATGTCGACGATACCGCCATCCTGGCTGAAAGTCTGACCGATCTCCAGGCTATTGCTGACATAGTAAATGAATCAAGTCATTGAAGAGGATTAAAAATTAACATCAACAAAACCAGATGGACGCTGACACGGGACGACTGCTTCTAGATGGGAAGGTGGTTGATCACTTCAAATATCTTGGTAGCTGGCGGAATGCGAGGGGACACTAGCCAGGGAGAATTATCTCCATGCAACTCCAAAAAAAGAGCTTAAAATGGCCAACATTGCTCTACGCCTGCGAGACGTGGACGCTGAAAGCTGCCACCATTAATAAACTTGAGGCCTTTGAATTGTGGTGTTACCGACGAATCCGGAAGATACCTTGGATTAAACAGACGCCCGATGAGTACGTGCTTAGAATGATTGAGGCGGCGACCATCAAATGGAGAAATACCGAGTACCTTGGTCATATTATCAGAGGTCCAAAATATCACTTGCTTCGACTCATAATTTAGGGCAAGGTAGAAGGAAAGAGTTGGATTGGTCGATGGAAACCATCCAGGATGAGCAACATTGGGAACTGGACAGATCTACAAGTGGAAGATCTGTTCATCATAGCAGCATAGAGAGATAGATTCCAGAGAATGGTTAACATTATGATAGTGAACGTCTGAACCCAGGCACCGCACTCCAAGAAGAAGAATAAATTCCTTTAGAGTTCTTTTAGAGAAACATATAAAAATTGAGCAGCTATATGCATGAAAATCCTCAATTATCTATGTGTGTAAGTGCGTCATTCCGTATGGAAATATAAAAATAGCTTTTGTGTCATAATGTTACGTTTTGTAAAAATAGAATGAAAAATTGTTCCATTTATAAATATTTATAAAAGAGAAAAAAGCGTATTTTTTCTAACACGCGTATAATTATTTCAGCAAATTAGAAAATATCTAAGTTTACTTTCACTTCGATTAAGACGAAATTAAGATTTTAACACCCTAGTTGAACAACACCTTAATGAAATTTTCCAATCAATGAAATGTTAGTTTAATATTAAACTTATCTATTTACCTTCTCACAAATAGATACACGTCCTCTCCAACTTCAATATCTTGCATATAGTTCGAGCATACACCGTAGTGAGGAGGACCTTCTCCGCCTGGAATATAAATATACACTATAGTCTTCCTATTAACCGTCATTCAAGTTCAGCAAATCGATACTAAATAGTCCTTATGCCATTTGTCTGTACTTTGGAACAATTTTCAGCAGTACTTTCCACCATGTCAAGCGCGATTACTTTACAAAGTATATCCGTGTAAGATAGGCGTGATTCTGCATGATTTATTAAGTTTTCAATTCTTATTATTTCAAGAGAATTTACCTTGGGTATTGTATACAACGACGGCCACAGTCAAATGAATCTCATTAGAATGAAGTAACGGACTTGAAGATATCGAGTAAAATCGTGGCTGTAGTAGACTCAATTGAGCGACCAAAAGTGGCGCGTATGGATTAACTGAAGGAAATTCTTCTAGAACCTCTGCCAGGTTGGGGAAATTCCAGTGCCTCCAGTCTTCATAGGCTGAAGAATCCTAGAATTGGAAATAAATATTTTAAATAACAGATCCAGCTATAAATAAAATTACTTACTGAAGCCAATAAGTTTAGTTTCTTCTGATCGTCATCAGATGCAATACTAGCAAAGTGCTGAAGGAGGTTGGGTGATGGAGGTGTTGTGATATCCAAATAACGTGTGAACAAATCCCGCAGCGAACAGGCTGGCAAACGGTCATGGGGTTTCCAATTTTTTACCACTCCTGTAAATGTACAGAGAAAATAGAGAACAGAACCTATTTTCCATACAGACTTACCGTTTGAGGTATGTGTTTCTTTGAGTGTCTGTAACTCCATGGATTGATCTACATCAGCTACACCTTTTACTCGGCTGAGTATCACATCAACAAGTTCCTTTCTATTCATTGGAAATACTCCCACGTGATCTCCAGGTTTGTAAATCAAGGTATTGTTCAGTTGAAGAAGTAAAGTGGCTTTGGGCGATTGGTTGTTTAGCAAGTTTTTTCGCTTTAACAGAGGTGTTGAGACTACCTAAAAGGCAAATTATTTTAATTTACTGCTGATTTTATAGAATTTGGGTATGTGTTTTTATGCTACAAAAAGTATGTTACCGTATTCATTCAGCAAACATTTTGAGTTGCACCGGCTGATATGTAAAATACTGCCATGGCTTAGTCAAATTATTACTACTTTTCCGCTAGTAATTCAAGATTATTTACCTCTTTTGTATATAAAATGTTCGGTTCTCTGATTATAAATGAGACACGTTGGATTTCACATATTAAGAATATTTATTTGCCAAAATAAATTTAGAATATTCAGAGTTATGTGAAGGTAAGTTCAAGAAATAAAATATTTTTGCATGTTTGGTAGATCGACACACGCATAAGATACTTGCCTCAACAGTACGCAATACGAGTTCTGATTTACTCATAGTTAAGGGCCAAAAGTGAGGGTGTTACCCATAGATTACATATTATGTTTATAGTGTTACAAGGGTATTCCACACAACTCTACAATTTATTGGCCTTTGCCATAAAAAAATTGCCCAACAAATCATAAATACCAACGCAGAAATTGTTTAAACTTTTAATATGAATTGCACCTCACTATCGAAGTAAACTTCCAGAAAATGATAAAGATAGAGAAGAAACAAAGGAAAATAAACACGATTCGAAACAAAAAAAGTAACGAAATAGTTATTTGCAAGTAAAACCTTACTGCTTAGAACGAATAGGTTCCAAACAACTCATAAAATTTGCCTTTTGATTTTCCAAATTTACTGCGCTTCTTTGGAAGGCTTCTGTAGAAGTATAGCTACTTTAATACTTTAATACTAATGTTTTTCTAAATTCTTTTATTTAAGTGAGCTGCATGAACGGGTCTGTCTGTACTCTATTGCAGTTCCTCAGTTGAATTTTAATGCTACTGAATTATATTGAATTAGTCGAGTCAATCAACAGAAAATCCGAACAGAATCGCCAAACAGAAAGTTCCGAAACTGCTGAATATTTGTGTTTATGTAAGTGTTTAAAATATTGCAAAGTTTATATGCAGTAGAGTAGAGAGAAACACGTTCGTAATTCACTTGGTAGAGCTAACGATTTTTTTCTATGTCTACAATTAGTTTGATCGTTGAAAAAATGACTCTGAAGAATATTGAGCGCAAAAAAGCTATAAAAGAATTAGAATAAATGCATTAAATTCAAAAATATGTTCAATTAACATTAGCAACATTAAAATTGGTTCTACCTTCTTTACAAACCTGCAAACTTTTATTTCCATATAGAATTGACAGAGTAGTTAAATAAGGAAACACGATGACGACTTTGAGCTACATGAAACTCTGTTAGCAACATTGGCTTAGTAATGGAGATAAGAAACTGAAACTAAACTTTGTATTTGTATACGGTTAGGAAAATTCGCTGATTTAGGCAAGTGTACATTGTAAATAAGTACATTTCCCAAGATACAGCGGCAGAAATTTAGCTTTCGTAAGACTGGCTTATTGCATGACCAGTTGCAACTAAATTATCACAACCACCGGAAAGGCACAATAGTTCTGAAATTTACCTCATTTATGTAAAAATAAAGGCTCTACTATATAAGAAATATAAAACATATCTACTTCTAACCAATATCCTTCTGTACGCTCAAATACTAATCAAATAATAATCAAGTTGCTCTTTTCATATTTACTCCATTTGTTTAAAACGATCGGACACAGAAGCCATTCGTATACGTTTTACTTAATAAAGAAAATATTTTTTCAATGAAAAAGCGATTTTAAGTACAGGTTCCATAAATTATAATACGGAATTCCACTAGTTAGATTAATGTTCTCGAAATTCTCATGTTTTCATATAATATGATAATAAGATCTTTAAGATCATATTATCCTAAATTCACAAATAAGTTTTTATTATGGAATAATGCGACATTTTATTAACGTCAAAAATACTATTTAATTTATGGTTTGTTATGTTGGTTCTTCGCAACATTTTCAAATCTGCAGATGTGTGTAGGTTATTTGCTTCCTAACATTGATGATGTTTCATCGGTTCCAGTGTGTCCCTCCGGTGAATTTCAACTACTTTTGTTCGGTTGCTAAAGGTTTTCGGTTTGGAGAGTTTCACACAATTTATGTTGAATTTCCAGATGCAGATGGTTGGTTCTTTGTTTATTCCCACAATTTATAATTACTCTTCCATTTTAATATAGCTTCCAATCGAAACGCCTATTCCAATGCCAGATGGATCAACGGTGGTTTTCAGGGCATTTTTAATCAGTTCGGAATTGTTCTTAATATCTTTGTGTTTCATGACCAAAGTGGCTGATTTGGACACAATGCCTGCGGAGGATTTGATTGTATTTCTCTGGTTATTGTGGAATTGAAATTGATAGTCTGGAGTTTATTTACAAAAATGCAATTTCCTGTGAAGGTTTTTTTGCGTCTAGAAACAGATTTATTTAAAAACCTTAAATTTTCATTCGTTTCCCTTAGGTTTTTAGTGATAGCTGCCTTCTTCCTTCCTGGTCATTTCACTTTGAACAGAAACTTAGGACGAATTCAGATTTTTTCATGCGGAATATTCAAAGATTTACACTTAATCACTTTAGGGGCTAGTGATAATTTTGAAATTTTGATTACCACACTTAAAACCGCTTTTAAAGCATTTAAAAATTTAAACGTTATTTAAAATTAGTAATGCATTACATAATGCAATTTCACATATACTGATAGACAACTTACTTTTTTATTATGGCATTTTGATAAGGCTTCTGCTGTGTCATCGTTCTTTGCTTCCACGAGTCGAACATTTTGATGGGTCAGAGACTCACTCTGCAATGAAAAGGTCGCTTCCAAAAAGGCCTCGTCATCATCCAAGCAAAATGCATCACATGCGAGCTGAAAATTCACATTAATTTATTTTGACGAAGAGAAGTACTATGGACGTTATGTGCTTAGCAAATGACTACCATTAAGAAAAGTTGATTGCACACTTGAAAGCCTAAATTCCATTGCAAATATAAATTAAAATGAGACAGATGCTATAAATATAAATTATCTAAATATTACAAACTYTAATTCACTTTTTGCTAGATAAGCTGATATTAAGGAAAAAAAWATAATAGTAGGTAGTAACTGCAACAGTTAATAGACAAACGAAGTACAACAATATCTAAAAGAATTATTATTTAATCTATAAAATAATCAATATTAATATATTTAATATACAATTGAATCCTGCCAGCTTTGTGCAGAAATTAAGTCAACGTTATTGAACGTAAACGAAAAACGTTATTGAGAGTGAAACATGGCATTTTAATGTAAAACGGCTTCATGATACTAAATTTTGAAGAATAACATACACTTGCCAACAAGGATTCTTTCTAAGATCTGTCAAGAGATAATGGGCATTAATATCCATGTTTGTGATATGCGACTAACGATTGATGTATGTTTCGAAACCAAAACTGTCCCTGATAAAACCTTTTCAATTATTAAACCCATTGAATTTGAAAGTGAAAGTAGTATTTTCTAATAACAAAAGACCTAATCACGAGATATGTTTCTAATTCAAAATGCAATTGGAAAGAACCAGACACAAAAAATTTATACTGAATTAATTAGAAGAACTTCGGGAGTTAGAGTAGAATAAACGTGAACTACTTGAGAATAACGTTAATCATATTTTAAAATGGTCAAGGTTTAAAAAGGTATTTGTAACACAAATAATATAGTTATAACTTCATTATAAAAAATTGTATATTAACAAAATAAGAATCATGAGTGTTTAAAATGTACTTTAAATTATGAGGACAATCCTCATCTCAACATTTTCTGGAAATCTAATACGACCGAGGAATAGTGTACGCACATGTCGAGTTACTTAGCATATTGCAGATCTAAGTAAAATTATTTTGTGAGAAAGCTTAACGCCATAACTTATGCCGTTCAATCATTTTCCAGGCACTTAGACCCAATTGTTTTACCATAACTGTCGTAGTTCTTGTAAATGATCGCTACTTTTATAAACAGTTTGACAAATAACGTTGCTTACTTTGAGAACTGGATAAATTGATGAAGCTTTTTGGGCAATTTCAACTGTCGCGTAAAAATGTGTCATACTTCCATTCTTCAGTATACAAGCTGTCTGATATGAAGTTGACCGTAATTTCATTAGGGAAGTTTTGTAGAAAATATATAACATGACTTCATTAACAAACAATGCGTGCTAAAGAAGCTTCAGTTTTGAACGATCTACTAGGCTGTATTTTTCTGGTGGCGATCAAAATCCCTTAAATAAAAGTGTTCTTTTCCCAAACTATGCTACATCGTCATTCTTAGGAAAACCACCAATATTTGGTTTATGTTCATGTTAAATATTCTCTGCCCAGAATAGAATTGAAATGTGTATAATTAATAGGTTAGAATCATAAATCATATTATCTCAATTTTAGTCATGTCTCCATCAGTAGAAGCTCCTTAGCACATATTTTAAAGTCACAATTTATACGTTTGTTACAGTAGTAGGTACTTAAATTATAATTTAAATGAATTAAGTTTTATAGTTTCGCACTCGTTTCTGACTGACCAATTGAGAAACGAAGAATTCTAAACTGTATATTCTTCATGCCCATACAAAACAGGATAAACGAGCTAATTGTTAATGTTTCGCATTTGATTCCATTGGACTGATCGTTTTTTGGATACAGTAGTTTTTGGAGTGGTTCATATTTTTTGTTATAAATAAGAAGTGTATGTATAAGTCGTTTTCATTTATTGATTAGATATCGAATTTAAATTTTTTCCAATTTCTTACCTTAAATACTTGTGGTGCCCATTTCATGAATGCCTGCTCCTGTCCACACATTTCGTCTCCCGAGGCCAATTTCAGTAATCGTTCACCACCAAGCTCCCCCAGAAGATTATCAACGTATTTTCCAAAAGCGCAAAAATTCGGATAAGCACTGGACCCCAACGCAAAAACGGCAAACCTGTAAAAGGGATGGTCAAAAACTTTTAGTTAGCGCCAGATGTCGTAAAATATTAGGGTGCCCATAAATCAGGTACAAGCAGGAAAATAAATGTAAGCAAGTACTTGGGATATGATCCAGCATGCAAAATATATATCCGATTTAGTTTGAAAAAATCGACGATTATTAATTTTTCTCGAAAATCAGTGCGAAAACTTTCTTCAAAGTACTGCAACTCAATATGTGGACTAACAGCAAAATGCAATTATATAATATATATATTAAAATATTCCTACCGCATCCGTATACCCAAATAATAAATCAAATATATGCATGCTGCCATCAAACGAAAGCAGCCTAAAAACACTGAAACAAATAGATCACTTTTCAGAGTACTACATAAATCATTTCTTAGCGATCTAGAGAAAACGTCTGCTAAATATTAAGTAATAGGTATTGTGCACATCTACTCTACGGAAGTGCTTTACTGAAATTGCCAGAAAATACCTCACGTTACTGAGAGGTCCGAAAGTGTCTTCCAGTAGTGGTTCGCTAACAGATGAGGAACCACCTCGAAGGGAATCTAGTCGATTGAGTCGTCGAGTGACCGAACCAAGCTCACTTTGACTATTAGCCTTGATAAATGATTTTGAGGTAGCCATGCTGTTAAAATAATTTATTAGGATATATGCTAGAGCAGATAATGGTTAGTAGTGAAAAGTAGTGAAAGATGATAAAAATTTCATTTTATATCCGTATTATTAAGATTCCTGAATCAATACACTTTTCAATATTTTTATTTACATTATTTGAGGGTCCATGTTCCCATCTGGTATCGGTAGACTTCCATTGTTGATAAAATAATTTGTTCAATTTGCAGCAAAAACTTATTCACTTAATTAACCATGTTTTATATATGTTGATATAAAAATATTCATGTAACAGTAGAACTTTTATCTCGTTTCTCCCGACTATTTCTAAAATCGTTTAACATCATTCAATTTCCTACTTTTACAAAATCTTAATTATAGTATTTGTAACTGTCTCGACACGCGCCTGGAAACTATGGTAAGTTACCACCATATTTAAAAAAAAATGTGAAAAAATGATAAAATATGCATTATACATTGATACTTTAAAACTCATTTTCCCAATAAAATGATTTGTGGCTTGTCACGTTTTTCCAATATGCCCTTCAATTTATGGATCTTGGGGTCTCGAGCTTTTAATTATTATTATCACAAATATATTTATTTTCCATTATCAAGATTTGCCAATTTCTGTTGTTTTTTTAATACACATGTTGCGCTGTTAAAGCAACTTACTTCAACGTTCTAGTAATCCTCAAAACGATATCAAGGAACAAAATTGAATCCTTTCACTAATTTACATTATGTAGATTCAGATAAGTTTACGAACTTTAGAACTTCTAGTATTTCTATTCTCCTAAAGTGAAATCGCTTGTGACAAGTTTATAAGTAAACAAAGAATATTTTCTTGTGTAATAGCTTGTGTTAACTCTCACAAGTTAATTGAGTGTTATTTTTTCAATACATTTGGTGAATATTATAAAATAATTTGCCAATTTGCGCAATAACCTTGCAAAAGTAATAAAAACTTCAGTCTATGGTCTACAGTTCATTTAGAATCGGAATATTCTAGAGTATTGTAAGGAACTGAAGTTTGTCATTTAAAATATTTTTTTCTTTAGCTCATCACTTTAATGAAAATAAGTCAAATCAAACATTTCAAATACACATTAAAATTAATCAAACGTATATATGAAAGGACAATTTTTCATGGGGCTCTATTAATTAATATAATACTCTCTATGAATACTATACATTAAGTAACATATTATGTAGGAAAAAATGTTGTTAACATTTAAGGGTTCAAAAACTTGACTGCCCAGTTTGGCTCTTGGTTAAATATTATGTAATATTTTATTTTACATTTATTCTGAGTTTTTTTCGTCTCCTAAATTATAATTTTTAGTGGAAACAAAGGTTTCCCATATCCTGGTGGCATTGTAATCCGCCTGTCAAGTTTGCTCGTTAGATCTGTATTAATTATTTTGTGTTTTGAACCATAGGATTACCTCCATACTCACAAGCCATTCCGCTTTACCTATTACGTTGCTTGTAAGCATTTTATATAATGGTAATGCATGCATATTTTTCTTTTGATGTATAGAAACCATATTTTTTAATTTCGAACTGGAAACATTTTTTTGGTATCAACATTCCAGATTGATTTTAATCTGACAGTATCCTATTCCAGATTAATTTCAATTAAATTATATTGTGTTTTAGTATTACTATTGTTACCGTTATTAGAGCTCTAGTTGTTGGCGACATGGCCTGTCGTTTTTTGGTATTTAACAAAATATTTTTCAAAAATTGTTCATGTATTGTGTGGTCTTTTTGTTGATGGTTCGTCCTTTCTCCTTCTCATTCTTATTCAGATGACGATATTACAAATGCTCGGGAGGCATTGAATTAATCTTTCAAATATTTGAACATTGCAAATCCTATTCTTGATACATAATTTCATTTTTGTTAAGTGAGTTTCGTTATTATCGCAAAACTTGTCAATAACCAATTCAACTTATTGGTAATTACTGACTACTATTTTTAGGGCAACTAGCTACAAATCTCGAAATCACAAATACAAGACACAGAACAATTTAACTTTAACAGGTTCACAATATCATGTAAGCCTTTTTTTCCATTATTACAAGTACCTAAGTACTACTTCATATTGAAACTTAATGCTTGAGACGTATAAATGTATAATATAGGTTAAATATCCCAAAAGTGTGTTTCTAAAAATAATGACTAATTGTTATTTATTATATTATGATTATTTTATATGTTCTTGACATGAAAGTAACGAAGGATTCTATATTAGTATTCCAATTAGTTAAAGCGGCCTTTTATATTAATAATGGAAAAAGCAGAAGAGCCGAGATCCTCTCTTATCCCGTTCCCCATCCTGAGTTTAATTAAAATTGTCAAGTTGTTACCTGAGCCTTTCCGGATCGCCATTCATTACACCATTCTCGCTGATCTTCAATGTATACAAATTGTTTGCAAATTCCTGAAAATAAACATTTGATTTATCATTCATTTTAGTATAAGCTAATCATAACAGTATCATCATTAAATAATAATTATAAAATGGTTAAAATTGTAAAATGGTATTATAATTATATTATGGTAAATGGCCACACGCCAACTAATGTTTCTGGTTTGTAGAATCTTCAAGACTTTCTGTAAGGTTGGCATTTCTAAATGAGTCAACTTTTATCTCAGTGTATACATTGTCAGATAAGCCGGAAATTTGTATTCCCACTTAGAATATAAAAAGCATGTTTAAAAACACTTTTTTATGATTCATTCAATTTTTTAGATTTTTTCCATATTTTATATTTATCTATTTAGTTTATTCCCTTAATGCTTAGCTGTCGTAACTAAACTAGCTCGAAACCGCATAGGGATCAGTTGGTCACTAGGAAAACGTTATTTTTTTGCAGGAGAATTCTCAATAGTTAGCCATTTTATTTTCTTAGTTCATTATATGGCGTTAACCGGCAAATTCAAAATTAGCCTAATTGTGTCTACTCCCATGTAGTTTCGCATATACTTTCAGCATTCATTTTCTAATGTTATCACAGTAACTAGAACGGCGAAATAAATCGTTTTCAGCAAAAGCAAAATCGGCTAAAACTTTTTTACAAATGAACAATTAATATATCAAATGAGAATGGAATTTAATGGATACTAACTTGAAACTTGCTACCCATTTTTTAATTTTAAACGCCTCCATAAACGATTAGAAGTATGTTTGGTATAATTAATTATTGGTACTCTGTCTGTACGTACATGCCAAAAGAAAAAAACCATTTTATTTTAGAATATTTGAGGCCAACGTTTACTGTGATCGGTTTATCACGTTTGATAAAATTATTTAATTGTTATATATTATATTATTTTATATTTTAAAGTTTTCCATCGGACTGGCATTAGGGAAAACTAAATTAGGCAAGCACGTTAGTGTATTCTGGAAATTCTTAATAATTAATTTTTAGATATGTTAATTAGTTCAAAACTTCTGCTAAAAAACAGTGATAATAAATATTTTTTTGCGAAACAAGAAAAATCACATTTCCTTAATAATAATAATAATAGTGCATAAAATACACATCAGTGAAAGATAAAACTTATTCACTTTAAGAATGTTTAAAATAAATGTAGGAAAGAAAGTAAATGCTGGAAAGACAATTAATAATTAAACAGTGTAGCAGCTTAAGCGATTGTTTGCTAGCTACTTTCAAAATATGTTGGACTTAAGTTTAAGAGTTCTTTTCGAAGTAAAAAAACCATTTTGCAAGGTTTTTTGTTTATTTTAGAAAAAAATATTTTTCTTTTCTTGTTTAAAATAATTAGTTGTTTGCTATTCTCAATATTGAACCGTAAGGTCAATTAACTAAAGTAAAGTGACGGTCAGACTTGACAAATATGCAAAGTTTTACTCCTTTTCTCACCATGCACTTAAAGTATAATTGCGCTTAAAAATATATTAAATCAAATCAATTAAAACATCAATTTAAGATCTCCCAAAACGCCCATTTCTACGACTTAATCATAACTTTAAATCAAGCTAGGTAAATGCGCACATGCAGATGCAACGCATATAATTAGATATGTGGATATCCAGGCCCAAGGTAGTTTAAATGCAAATTTGAACGACTCCAGGAGTCTAATTTCTAATTGCATTTACCTGCCAGGAAATGAAAATTATCAAATAAATTTTGAAGGCTTAAGAGGGTCGTTAAATATTTGCCTTGAAACGGATCGTGTTTCTCCGGCTTGCAATTCGTTATCAGTAGTTTTCTTTTCCTTGAATTCTAGATAGTAAGCAAGCACTTGAATAAGCCGTACTAATTACATACATGCTATGTCTTGTAGGACAAAGCGGATTTATTATGGTCCAGTTATAGCAGTTGTCATTCCGTTTGGCTCGTATTTAGAGAAAGGCTGTTTCGGTATGGTCATTGTCATGTTCGATCATACAAAAAGAAGTTTTTGTAGGGTTGTGTAGTGGATTTTTAGTATGTATTATTCTCGTTATTAACATTACTGCAATATCTTTTGTTGTTTAGTATCATTGAAAGCGTTTGCTGTTAGTATGTGGCCGATATCCACCAGATGTTTACATATGGCTTTGTATATTACATATGGCTTTGTATGTTGCAAGCAATTAGCTTGCTGGTGAATAGGCGATCRGACTTCGCTTCTTGTTTTGTAGTTGTTCTGCCCTCTGTGTGTTATTATTGTTGAAAACKTATCTTTAATTTTCTAGTTTCTTAAGGAAAGTAACTTTTTCGTTACTTATGCAACCATGTCATTSTTTTTCCTGTTAGCGTTAGAAGTTTTCGTGCAGTTCTCGTTTTTGTTCCATGGTGCACGATCAGGGCGGTGTCGTTAGCATGTTGTAGTATGTAGKAAGTTTYGTTTATGTCCCTATGACCTTATAGGTGGTGTTTGTATGTATTGCAGATAAAGTATGTTTATATGATGTGTTGTTCTCATGTCACTTCGTACAGTAAAAATGTGGGTGTGTTGTTTTCCAACTGTTGCAAATGGATCTGGTGATGTTCTTTATGCGGTCTGGTAAAATGTTAATATACTTTGTAGTATTTTACTCAGCTCTGGAAGTAATATAATAGGTCGGTAATTTGGTGTTTTTTGTGCTGTCTAGTACGGCTATTTAATAGTAAATATCAAGTTTTATGAAAGTAGAATATATGTAACAACCTGATCTCTGAAATGATAGGTAACGACAAAAATTTGTAAAAATTCGAAGTCGCATTTGGCTGTTTTTTTTTTAATCTGGAAAAGATTATTTATACATTTATTCTACGAATATCTATGTATTCTACGAATATTCTGTGGAAACGAATCAGTTTGCAGCATCTGAAAATATGCTGGGTGTAACACATATCGGGCGTTGACCTTATTCAGCTTACACTAGGTATAGTAAACCAAAAATATAAGAAGTTGTTACACAACAAAATGGCTGAAATTACTTATTTTTTGGTTTATGTGAAGTTTTATTTTAAAACAATTCGCTTATAGAGCAAGCAATTATCCAAATATAAATGTGAATATTAGGGGTTGTCGTGCTCTTATAAAATTTGCTGGTGAAAGTTTTGCTAGGAAACTGATTCGCATTATAGCATTTTTATATACATAGTTAAATTTATAAGCCTGGAAAAAGAATATTTTGCTACTTAAAATTTAGTTGTTCAAGTAGCTACGAGACTAAAGGACGCAAAATTTACATGGTATACTGCGGAAATAAGAACCTACTGTAATCGCTAATTTAGGTATTGGTTGGTTGTTGTTGAAGTACATCATTGAGCTCGTGCAATTGGCTGGGCTCCACAGTAACAATTTATTCCACAATTCAGTTGTACCGTAACTGTATTAAATAAATTTGCAGACAATTCTAACTACCCACCTTGTTTTCATATTCGTTAATAAACTTCGCTTCGCCATGAAAACCCAGTTGTTTAACTTTTAAATTAATCTCGAAATTCCAATTCAGCGTTCATTATTTAGTTACTGTTTTTAGCGCATCTAAAATTACGAATTGAATCGGTGAAAAGCCTATTGAATTGCATTGCATAGATACTTATTAATAAACATGTTCATATATAAGCTTCTAAAGCTACAAATCATATGATATTTCATTGAATGTCGGCGTATTGCCTATTCGGATTAATTGCTACTTTTTGTGGAAAATTTTTAATCAAAGAATTTTTTATAACCAATAAAATGTATGCTATAATAGTTTGATTATTGCCCAGTAGTGAACTTGATCCGGCCCGCTTCGAAAATATCGTCTGTTTTTTCTTCTGCTTTCACGGCGACATGAACACAATAATAAAGTGCTAAATCTTGATAATAAATAAATACATTATAGAAGTCTATAGTCTGCACACTTATGCTCATTTTAAACACCGTGTCAGCCAGTAAGCTTATGAAAAGCTTGTAATGAACAAACTTTCCAACTTCGGGAAAAATAATTGTCTTGTTTTTGTGTTTCTATGATTTTTGCAATATATCCTTATGTTTTCCATAAATTTGCTTCTACGGGACCCAAAGTTTTCAATAATAAATGTTGCTGTTTTGGTTTTTTGTAATTTTTTAATAAGCTGTAACAGGAACATCGTTTTATGATTTTAACCATCACTGAAACGCTTCTAATTGATAAATAATCCAAACAGATTTTTTTAATCCTTTCATTTTGTTGTTTGAGTTTTAAATTTCTTGTAAATTCTGAATCTTCCTGCTACTTTCCTGAGTCATAAGACCTTAAGCGGACCAGTTTCTCTAATCTAAACCAAGTTTATATTTATCGATCTTGAAGTCATTTAATTTCTTTAATTTTTCCGATTTAGTTTTAATGCCTAATTTGTATTTTTTGCATTTTGTATGTAAAGTGTATGTTGCGCACGTTCTTCTTCTTAATTTGTGTTTTAGTATGCAATTGGAAAATTATACATGATTGGAGCTGATGTTTCTTCAAACATATTTTCAATTTTTGCTTATTTTACTAGGTTGGCTAATTTTTTTCCTCTCAGATCATTCTGATTTATATTGTCATGTTCTTTGTGTAACTTCTTTCGCTATAGATTTTCTCTTTCGTATGCTCAATTACGCTCAATTTGGGTTCTTTTTTATTGTGATTGCATTTTATCAGCTTGTCCAATGCTTCTCGCTATTGTTATTTCTTGTTTCATACTGATTTTTCTGACAGGTTATTTGATAATGTGTATTAATTAATTATATAATTTAATAAATATTGTCATACAATTGTTAATTGAATGCTTGCTGCTGATCTTGTTGAGTTCGGTTGCCACCGCAATTGTTGATTATATATTGTCTTTATTGCACATTTGGATTCTTAGTCAAATCCTAGACTAGCAATAAGTAAATGGCTGCTGTCGTTATATTAAGTTTCCTTTGAATTGAAACTAACTGAAACTACTGAAATTAACCCCTTTACTAGTTTTCATTTTGTTTATTTTATTCATTTGTTCTTAATTGTACTCTTACAATTTTTCATTTTGCTCGTCGATCTGATGTCGAAGAAACTAATTTTCAGCGTATTTGCAGTAATTTATTTGCGCCACGGAATCAGTTGATACAATTTTATATATCAGACTTGATAAAATTTATGTTGAATTAAATTTAATAAAAATATACCGGAATAATTCCATTAGTAGCAGGTAGCAAGATCAAACAGCAGGCAACAACTGCTACAATACAGTTCGCTCAATAATGCTTAAATTTAATTAAAATTATATTCAGTATTTGAAAATAGGCAATAGAAATTATAACAAACGAAATATAAACACCGTTGGAGTTACTCATGGAGATCAGAGCATTGAAGTCAAAAAAAGGGAATGGACTGAATGTACTCACTCTAACTATTAAAACAGGCTGTTTAAGTATGCGTCTTTTAAAGTTAAATTATTGGAACTGAAATCGTGGCTAGTATGTAAATTGAACAATTCATCATCAGTGAGATGTTTGATGTTACTCATTTAGAAAGCCATTTATAAACTAAATTTTGAGATATGAGAACAAAAATAAAGTAAATAAAAATAAAGCCACATAAAAAGTATAATTTGTTACTGACCTCTCCATTTTCTGGCGGATCTCCGTTTCCAAAAGTTGAAGTGACGACTAGTATCAAGGCTTCATGCTCTATACTGGATATATCGTAATCAGCCATACAATATACTTGAGCATTGAAAGCATGACCCAGAATTTCACCCAATTTTTTGGCATAGCCTTCAGATTTTCCAGTTTCTGTAGCATAGAGGACAGTGGCTTTGATTCTCCTTGAAAGTGCTCTACCGAAGAGTTTTGAAGTGAATTTAACTGCCCTGGAAATCAAATCGAATTCAGTTAAGTATCCAAATGCGAGATTAATTTCAAGCGGCAAATCAAACTATGCCCAAAGCTGATGTTTAAATGTACCTGGCAATTTGCTTGAAATGGAATTTCCTTCTGGGTTTTTTGCTCTTTCCGGAATCACGTCCTTTTTTCCAGATGTGGCACTTCCAAGCTGGGTCCTGAAAAGATATCGTTGTTTTAGCATATATACCAGCACAATAGGGGGATGGCAAAAATAAATATTTATGTGCACCTTTGATTTCTACAACCCTTTGCGCTTGCTGTTCTGTCATTGTTCTAAATAATTTAAAGCACAGTCCCATTTATGCATATATTTTTAATCCCTATTTGTTTGATGAATTAAGCAGGTTTCATGTGTTTAACTACCAATGTGTAGACACTAAACTGTTAATGTTATTCGTTTATATAGTAGCTAATTGTTATTAGTGCGTAATGATTCCGACATATTTAAATTATGGATTTAATAGAAATTCCTCTAAATTGCTAATATTACTGAGTTTAATTATTTTGTATTGTGGTATTGTATTGATGGATATTATGGAAATTACCTGCTGGAGAATATAAAAACAGGACATCGGAAATATTCACCTCATAACGTGTGTAGGATACGTCCACTGTATGAAAGGTTACCGAAGATGCTTCGATTTTTGTTTCTGATTAATATCTTTCGAATTTTCTTCAGGCAATAAAGGCAAACAAACTCGACAATTATTTAATACATGAATGAATGTTAAATTTAAGCTGAAATTGGCAACATGTTGCAAATGGACGATTTAAGAAAGTGAGTTCTATTCATATTCTTTGTTAGCATGTTTGAAACTGAATTGGTGTTAAATCTGTAAAATTAGTAAAGTTTAACGTGATATGCTACTAAGTATTTTTCCTTATAGTATGACAACATGTTTTAAATCACAACGTCATCTGAAAACGGGACTTGAAGCTATGCAGAAAATAGAATCCCTAACTTCTAGCCTGATTTTTCTAACATTTTGCATTTCAAAATGCGACAATGTCTTACAAAGTGTACACTTAGCCAACTTACAGAATTATGTCAGATTGTTAATTACTCGGTTTTCGACCATACAATATTGGGCAAAAATAGGGCCAAAAGGTGATTGAGTTGTTGGTTATGAATTTAGTATGTTTTCCTATTCAACGGTTTTAATTTTTAGCTTTCCATTCAATTTACACCCTACAAGCACAGAATCCGTACGGACACTTTCATGCAAACCTTTACTAAACCCCCTGAAGTTCTTCGGAACATTTTAGAAGAACTTTGAGATGAATTGGACTTCAAGGACTTTTCAGAAAAAAATATTTTTGTTCATTCTACTACTAATCTATCACTAAGTAAATCGAGCTCTTAACATTTTAAAATTAAATACACGTAGGACTTGAGATCTGAGGTCTAATAGAAAGTAAACCGCCCAAGAATTTTCCCCCAAAAATCTGTTGAAGTTAATTCCATGAAGAGCTAACACGAATAGTGAATGATTAATTTTACTGAGATAATCAGTTGCGATCTGAAATTTTTTATATTTATTAAATAATTTCTGGGCTACTTAACTAATACATTTTCAAGTTTTTCTTTCATATGATTTTTTGATCTGATTATTATTCATTACCATATTTTCTATATTTTATTCCTTAAGGCTGATGTTGTTCCATCTTATTTGAAGGACATGCTTGTAGAATCCGATGGGGTTCTCCTTACAATGGTGAGAGTTTGAGTTAAGAATCTATGGGTTACATTCAACGTTCGATTAGTTACAAAATCGTGATAAACTTGTTAGACGCTGCTTGACAACAACATGTTTCCAACGTACTATCAATATTACGAAGAAATTGATGGCGCAGCTATCGTTCATTCTGGTGATAGACAATTGATTGTTGGAGATGTTCGAACAAAAAGCACTGGAATCGGCATACTCTAAAGTAGCACATAATATTCCACATATTTGTCACTTAATTTTTCACACATATTATTTATATCTTAAGCAATTATTAGTGTTGGTTAATAAATAAATGAGCATAAGTTTCCGTACAATGCAGAATAAAAAAGTAATTATTATTGTATTTAATATCCACAACAAAATACCAATCCTTACAATTTATTAACAAAATGTTATGTCTATCTATAAACTTAATAAGCTCTCCACAGCTGCTTTTTTATAATCTCTTTAATTAGTCCAGCTAAAAAGACGCTTCCAAATGTCAATATTTAAATTAGCTATTAAAAAATAATGATGTTGTTGCGAAAGACACGAGCAACATAATTAATTTCTCGTACATTTTGCGATGTTACGTTTCATTTTGATAAAAGTAATAACCTGAGAGCGAAACTAACATCCTGTTAATGTAACTAATTAGAATACATGTAATAAAAAACACATAAAAAGGCTGATAATTTAATTAATCTAAAGAAAATTTAAGTCTTGAAATACCAATTCTAAAATTACTCCAATATTTAATATATTTATTAAATACGCCACAGCTATTTTAACGTTAATATATAGACATAATGTTTTTAATAATCTCGAAACTGAATATTTCAGAAATTACAAAAGTTTTAAAAAATAACAGCATTCTGCTTTTAGACAATCCTTATACAATCGTGTAGGAATTGATTCACTATTCCAAATATTAGTCTTTCCTTTGCAATTGCCACGATAAGAAATTCCGAATAAATGTGGATACATGCCAGGAAATCAGACGGAAATATTTCTAAAAATCTGGAATTTGCCACATCAGTGCGTTCTCCTTAAATATGTGCCAACAAAGCACGAGCGACAAACATTGTGTGTCAACGTGTAAAATCGAGAAAATCCTGTAGGAAATTCGTAATAATTGGATCAATTTTGAGTAGAAAAGACTTCTTTTACCGCTTTTTAAGTAACGCCACTTAGGGGACTTCAGAGGGGTAGTGTAGCTTCATCTGTTGATCAATTGTATATTAAATATGCCATTGATCAGCAACAGCAATTGTAGTCAAATTAAATTTTTTTCAACTACAACAATTGCTGTATTTTATAATAACATAACCAACTTTAACTTGACGAATACGGAATAAATTGAAGACGAGCTTAAAAAACATTTAGCCCTATGGCGCGCCTATGCATCATTAAATATAGCAATTATTGCTGCAGTTCATTAAAGTAATTACAACAAATTTCCATGTTTATGTTATCGGGTTAATATTCAAATTAAGCAAAAATTATTTTTAGCATTGCTATAATTTCTACATATTTCGTCAATATTAAAGCCCAGCTTTATTGGAAATATATAATTTCAATTATTGGTGATTGGAAATTGCGATGCAGTACTTACGCGATAATAAATGGATACAAATTTGCATTTTTAAAATAGCGCTTTGATTAATTTTTCAACCTAATTTATAGGACGGATGAATTTAAATCAAGATTAATACTCTTCCAACATCGCTTTACAATGTGATCCGATTACTACGAGCATAATACTAATATCGATAAAACTGTTACGGATGAAGTTTGAATAATAAAAATACAAATGAGGCTTCAAACGGTTTTACCATTACGAAAACCTTTTTCACGGAAAAAAATTGTTAGGGTAGAAAAACACGCAATTTGTTCAATTGGCGCGGACTGGAAACCGTTCTGCTCAAAACTAATCTGATTATAAAAATGCTTTCAGGATTTCTTCCATTTTCAACATCGGCACACAATATATTGCCGTTCGTGTTTTGTTGGCACTTATTTAAGAAGAACACACTGGTGTGGCAAATTCGAGATTTCCAGAATTATTGTCTCCTCAATCGCGAAATATTTTCCGCATTTATTCGGAATTGCACAAGACCGATAAGTAAACGCTTAGGTGAGCTTAACATTTCAAATAATAAGACGACTTTGAGGCAGGAAAATGATGAATGAATGAATGATGTAAAAGTTTAGTTTGTTTTGAAGAAACCGTACTCCCGATGATTTTTTTTTTAATTTTCAGGAATAAAAACAGGCGTTGCATACTAAATTCAACTGTCTGTTAAGCGCTTAAGCTTACCCTTTTTTCAAATAAAAAATTTCAGATAATATTTCACTTTAATATGGCGCAATAATTTATTATGTTTTCTTTACTTTGTAGTTCTCGCAATTTCAACCAACGACCAAAGGCGATTTTCAAGACTCGATTTAATATTCAATTTTGGTATTTTTTGTGAAAACTACCTGTGAATGTTTGGTATAAGAATTTGCCTATTTGAAAGCTCTGC